CAGTTCCAGGTGAGCGCGCGGGATGCTGGTGTGCCTGCCCTGGGCAGCAATGTGACTCTGCAGGTGTTTGTGCTGGATGAGAACGACAATGCGCCCACTCTGCTAGGACCTTGGACGCAAGGATCCGGTGGTGTAGTGAGCGAGCTTGTGTCCCCCTCAGTGGGTGCGGGCCAAGTTGTCACTAAGGTGCGCGCGGTAGATGCGGATTCTGGCTACAATGCGTGGCTGTCTTATGAACTGCATCCTTTAACGGGTGGAACGCGCAGTCTGTTCCGGGTTGGTCTGTACACAGGCGAGATTAGTACTACACGTGCCCTGGAGGAGGCGGATGCACCGCGCCACCGCCTATTAGTGCTGGTGAAGGACCACGGGGAACTGGCGCTGACGGCCACTGCCACCGTGTTAGTGTCTCTGGTTGAGAACAGCCAAACTACAAAAGCCTCTTCGCGGGCGTCAGGCGCCACGGGCCAGGAAGTTTCATTAGTGAATGTCAATGTGTACCTGATCATTGCCATCTGTGCGGTGTCCAGCTTGCTAGTTCTAACACTCATGATATACACTGCACTTCGGTGCTCAGTACCACCCACAGAAGGCATGTGCGGATCTGGGAAGCCTGTGCTGGTGTGCTCTAGTGCTGTGGGGACCTGGTCATATTCACAGCAGAGGAGACAGAAAGTGTGTTCTGGAGAGGGTCCGCCCAAAACCGACCTCATGGCCTTCAGCCCGAGTCTTCCTCCTTGTCCGGTTGTGGGCGAGCATCAGGATTTAAACGAAGATCATTCTTCAAGAGTAAGTCCAAAATTTGTAATTGTCATTACAGTTTAAATTTTGCATTGTTTTTCTGTAGTTAGTTTCATACTTTCTTATTCTTTAAATTTCTATTCATTTTCACTGGACTAAGTATTTTTATTTTATTATTTTACTTGTAATCTTTGTTTTTGATCTCACATGTAAATAGAATTAAACATTATTACGCACATTCTGTGCTATATGGCTTTAAAAAGCAAACTCAAAACGTTGTTCCACTTGTCCTTTTCTACCACATTGTTTAGGTCAGTGTTAATATTCTTCTGAGTAAATACATAGGGTATTCGCATTTTTTGTATTTTAACACTGGGGAGAACTATTTTGAATATCTTGTTTCTTTTCATGGAACATTGAAATCATAACATAATTGGGATACACATTCTTTTCTCTTTGCTTTTTTGTTTTCTTGCTGTGTGTGTGTGTGTGTGTGTGTGTGTGTGTGTGTGTGTGTGTGCTTGAGATGAAACCAAGGACATGCCAAGCAAGCACTCTATGAATGATCTATATAACAATATTTAACTTTGAACCCATTTAGGGATAAAGAACAATGTCTAGGTTGAGTGATTCTGGTGAAGGAGATTTCATAGTCTTTCATAAACTTGTTCCACACATAGTTATTACCCAGTTTATTAGTGGTCCGGGTGCTATAGAAACAGTTGGAGGAAACTCAGACTTTAATCCAGTAAACTCACACAAAGTCAGTATTCCAATGTTGGGCTCAGTGGTTGTTCCCTTGTCTAACAGGTACAAGGCCCTACGTTCTATTCACTGGAGAGAAAACCACAAAGAAACAATCATAAAGGTCAATGCACTTCTGTGATGTTGAAATTCTCTTGTCTTTGAATTTCATTTAATGGGTCTCCTTATGGAGTCCAAGCTTTTCTTCCTTGCCTTCTCTGTGTAATTATTTGCACTATGGACCATTTCTCTACAAAAGGGAGCCATCTAGTGTCTCAGTTGGGAGTCTTCAGGACATTCTCTCTTGCCAAATTCCACCCCTGCTTTTTGTTTTTGAAGCATTGCATAGGCTGTGTATCCAGTTAGTTCTCTGTTTCAAATCTACAAAATTTAGAATATAAATAATAACATCTGTCATACCTAAAACATTTTTAAAATTTATAAGTTGGTACTTTTATTATTTTTTTATTTTTTGCTTTTTTGAGACAGGGTTTCTCTGTGTAGCTTTGCTTCTTTCCTGGAACTCACTTGGTAGTCCAGGTTGGCCTCAAACTCACAGAGATCTGCCTGGCTCTGCCTCCCGAATGCTGGGATTAAAGGCATGCGCCACCACTGCATGGCTTAAGTTGGTACTTCTAATGTGCTTATAATAGTGTTTGCTAAGGAGTAGCTGCTAAATTATTATGAATTCCATGCAATTTTTATTTTATATAAAGTTGTTTGTTTTGTTATTCTGGGAAGGCCAGCATTACCAAACTATTCTGAGATACCACTAGCATTTTAGTGCCATGTACTACTTTGAAGATAATTGTTTTTCAGTGTCAACTGTTCAATAAAGACTTCAACAATATAAAAGATTTTGGTTTCAAAAGACATTGAAGACGTAGAAGTGACTCCTTGAGATAGTTTTAGCTTGTGTATTGGGTATTTTCCCTAGAAAATACATCTCATATATGCTTAAAAGTAACAAATTTCCTTCTGGAGATCCTAATCAATTAAGAACACAATTTGTGCCAGGAGATGATGGCACACACCTTTAATCCCAGCACTGAGTTTGAGGTCAACCTAGGCTACAGAGTGAGTTACAGGATGGCTGGGGCTACAAAGCAAAAGAAGAAGAAGAAGAAGAAGAAGAAGAAGAAGAAGAAGAAGAAGAAGAAGACAGAGAAGAAGGAGAAAGAGAAGAAGAAGAAGAAGAAGAAGAAGAAGAAGAAGAAGAAGAAGAAGAAGAAGAAAGAAGAGGAAGAGGAAGGAGGAGGAGAAGAAGAAAGAGGAGAAGAAGGAGGAGAAGGAGAAGGAGGAGGAGAAGAGTAGGAAGAAGATAAGGAGGAGAAGACGGAGGAGGAAGACAATTTGTATGGATAATTATGTTTAGCAACCTGAACACAGCTCACTGTTTTAGGAAGTAGAAAAACATCTATGACTATATCCACCAAGTAAAACATTAAAAAATGTATGAGGACTTCATAGTCCAGTATCTGCCAAAAACCACTGAGACAAAGTCCAATCTTTAAAAATTTCATATAAAAATATACTATATAATGTAATGATCATAGAAAGCAGAATGTTATGAGTCACAAGAAAGGCAAAAAAAATCATAATGTGGCTGAATACAACTGTCTACCTATCTCACTAGATGAAGAAAATTTCAAAATTAATGATAGGTTTGGTAGTTATAAAAATAGAGAAGTTCCATTGGGAGAATATTGACAATAACCAGTATTTTGGGAGGAAGAAATGACTTTAAGTAAATGAATGTGAAGCAAAATCCCAGTTGAATCTGAAATCAGGGCACAGTCCATTTGGGTTGAAGTGCATGGTTTTCATAGGAGGGAGTATGAGATAAGACAGGAAAAGTATTATGAAGAGAATTTCTTGGGTAACTATTACAATAGATTTTACTCATCTCTAGTCATTTGAAAAGCACCAAACATTTGGAGCGATGGTAACAGAGGTGTTCATGAAGTTGACCAGAAGGCTTAACTAACGGGTGAATGCAGTGTAATAAGCTTCTGGGATAGTCAAGCAGAGTGCTGATCATTAAAAAAACTGGTTTTGGGTCAATATCAAACTTGGGAAGCATTAAAACATGTATATAATTTTTTACTTCCATCTGGGAACATTGGGTAAAACATTTAAGAAAATGACATTTTTTAAACAAACCCCAAAACATAAAATATCCAAAGACTTTATTTAAAAATTGCGGAAAATAATATGGGTCAGCACCAATATTTAGCTAATATTTAGGTTTATATTAATATTTAGGTTTATATTGTGAAGGCATAACCTCCATGATATTGGTGACTGAAAACAGGTGTGCACTCATAAACACAAGATGTGGAAAGAGTAAATAAACACTAGAACTATGAACTTCTACAATGGAATATTTAAATCCTGTAAAGGCAATTTCACGTTATTAGTTTCATAAGAAGCTACTTAGTACAAAATCTTGTCCCAAAGATGCCCAAGCCTTCTATATTTCTATCCAATAAAGGCATATGAAAATTGTTTATCAACTTGCCTTCTTGACGTTAAAAAGGTTTTCTAAGTTTGTTCTAAATTAAAGAGATCCACTTAGGTTTATCTGTGTGTCAAAACTGTGTGGGGGCAAAACTTTTTCTAATAACAAACGAAAATTATGGTCAAAAGTAAACACTCAAATGCCGTTAACCACCCAAGAACCCCATGAAGACGCATGAGAAACGCCGCTCTACATGTTGACAACAAAGAAGAAAAATTTCAATTTAGAATACATTTTTCACTGCCTAACTGTAAAGTGAAATTTTGTAACTTCTACTTACTACTTGGGCCACATGATGTCGCTCTTAACCACTAAATGGTCACAAGGAGAAGCCATTCGTTTTCCATTAGAAAGACTCCACTGGGTTTCACTTTTCCGCTGCTCAACAATGGCCAGCATCTCGGGATTGGAATGAAGAAATAAAAAAAGAAATCTCCAAAATTCGTGGTAACTGTCGCTAATGAGAATAAAACGTCAGTAATTTGAAATGGTAAACCTGAGAGGATACAACTGGAAGAGCCGAAAATTACTCCTGCTCCTGATAATTCTCGCAGCCTGGGAGGCAGGGAGCGGCCAGCTCCACTACTCTATCCCGGAGGAGGCCAAACACGGCACCTTCGTGGGCCGCATCGCTCAGGACCTGGGGCTGGAGCT